GCCCGCTCCTTGAGTACCCTGGGGGGAAGATTGTCAGGGCTGGCTGACTTGAAGGTATCCAGCTTCTCAAGATGTTCCTTCAGAAAGTCAGCATTAATGGAGGGCAGGGGATCACCCTCACCCGGACTTCCCGGCCCTGTAGCGGGCATGGGCGTCCCATGGGACTGATGAAAGACTGACGCAAAGTACCTATTTAATAGGTTGGCTTTTTCCTGGGCGTCAGTTGTCAGTTGCCCCATCTGGTTCAGTAGGGGTCCAATGTTGCCCCTGCTTTTCCTCCGGCTCCCCACATATCTGAAAAAGGACTTCTTATTGTCCTTGATGCTCAAAGCTAGCTGGAGTTCAGTTGCAGCCTTGGCTTTCCTGGTCTGCTCCCTGCAGGACTGGACCAGTGCAGAATAATCCTCCTTGGAGGTGACTCCCATCCTCCACCCTTTGTAGGCCTTTCTTTTTAGCCTCAGGAGGTCTGCTAGGTCCCTGGAGAGCCAGGGGGGCTGCTGTGCCCTCTTGCTGCCTTTCCTCCGAGATGGAATAGACTTAGTTTGTGCATTGAGGATCGCTCCCTTGAGGAGCAACCACTCCTCTTGAACTCCCCTCTCCCTGTGGTCATGGTCCCTTAGGGCCTCACTGACAAGCCTCCTGAGCTTGTCAAAGTCGGCTTTCCTGAAGTCAAGGACTTGCACGTTGCTGACCGACTTGCCAGCTTTTCGGCGGATGGTGAAGGTGATCAGCTCGTGGTCGCTGTCACCCAGCTTCCCATCGATCACTAGGTCGCCGACTAGGTCATCCCCAGTAGCCAGTACCAGGTCGAGCAGCGCTTTGCCTCTCGTTGGCCCATAGACTTCTTGAGTCAGGTAGAGGTCATCCACGCACGAGAGGAAGCTCTGCGACCGCTCAGATTTTGCTGAGCGATCCTCCCATGAGATGTCTGGGTAATTGAAGTCACCCATGACAACCATGGTCCTGGAGCAAGCTGCCTCAGCCAGTTCCTGGGCAAACTCCTGGTCAAGCTCAGGACTTTGGGTGGAAGGTCTGACTTTGGGTGGGAGGTCAGTTAAACGCTTAGCAATCCTAATAGCAGAGCCACTTGGAATATCCAAGGAGCAAATGCCAGAGAGTCAAACTGCAGGCAGGCTCTTTTCACAGGCAGCCTTTACACCTTCCTGACCATTCAGCGGCTGGCACAAGAGAAATCCTGTGATTGCTGCTTCCCTGCTAACAGCAGGTGCTCCATCCTCCCCAGGGAGCAGGCAGGAAGCTTTTTGTAGCAGAATTCCTCCCTGAGCTCCCCCAAGGCAGTGTGACTCCACGTCACCCCTCGTGGGGAGCTGTGTGCTATTTGCACAAATGAGTCCATGGGAAAACTCCCTGGAGATCTTGAAACACCACTCAGAGCAGGAACTACCCAATGAGGAAGCTCTCCCTCTGAGAAAAAGACCAAATTGATTTGAGGCTCGATACATCCTATAGCAGCAATTCCCATCTTTAATTATAGTCCTCTTGCAGGATGCCATGTGAACAGGAGGGACAGGGAGCCTGAAGCAAACAAAAAAAAACCCCAACACACCCCTTTATGCCCAGCAAAGCTACCAAGCACAGCTTAAGTCAAGTCAGGACCAACCTATCATGAGAATCAGGAAGCCATAACTTGTACAAGGCTGCTCTTGGCAGGGAGAAGCTTGCCCATGATAAACTACAGAGGGGCACTGGGAGAGGGAAAGCAGAGACTGAATTTTTCTTTCTTCCTTCACTATGTATAGGCAAGTGTGATTTTTACTGTTGCAACTTTAAAAAGCTTGAGCTGTTCCTGTAGTGAAACCCCAGCTCTCTCTGCATAAACAATCTGAAGAACATGGATGCAAAAAAGCCTCACTGTGCTATTTTTGGAAGTCGAGAAGGGAAAACCTGATTAATGTGGTAGGTTTGTGCAGTGATTTCCTATCACCACTCGCAATGCAAAGGGAACCCTGGATACTGTATGCTGGTAATGTATTACATTATTAGTCAAAGGTCAATCAGAAAGCATTTTATCTATGGCACCACAATCATAGACAGATGTCATAGATTAAAGCCCTTCTATGCAGACATACAGCTCTCCGCTCTTTTTTCCTTTTTTAATTGGGATTTTATAAGCTTTTCCCATTTAGACAGGATCAGCCTCATGCGTCTGTGATCCCTGCCTGCATTGGTTTCACAGCTGCGTGTGCGCATAACAATGCTGTTCAAATACAATTTCCTATGGCACAGTAATACT